ATAGTGATAGCACTGAAAGCTGAAAATTGGCCTGGACAGGAAGGGGTGAAAGTGTCCAGACTTGAAGTGGACAAGTGAACAACAGGCAGCAGCGAGCACCAACCACAATATTAGCAGACAGGTAGTAGGCTGGGACCTGGGGCAGGAGTGCTGTGACCTGGGACATAGGCTAGGACCTGGGACAGGAGTGCTGTGACCTGGGGCGTAGGCTGTGACCTGAGGCAGGAGTGCTGTGACCTGGGGCGTAGGCTGTGACCTGAGGCAGGAGTGCTGTGACCTGGGGCGTAGGCTGGGACCTGGGGCAGGAGTGCTGTGACCTGGGGCAGGAGTGCTGTGACCTGGGGCAGGAGTGCTGTGACCTGGGGCAGGAGTGCTGTGACCTGGGGCGTAGGCTGTGACCTGGGGCAGGAGTGCTGTGACCTGGGGCGTAGGCTGTGACCTGAGGCAGGAGTGCTGTGCTGTGACCTGGGGCGTAGGCTGGGACCTGGGGCAGGAGTGCTGTGACCTGGGGCAGGAGTGCTGTGACCTGGGGCAGGAGTGCTGTGACCTGGGGCAGGAGTGCTGTGACCTGGGGCGTAGGCTGTGACCTGGGGCAGGAGTGCTGTGACCTGGGGCGTAGGCTGTGACCTGAGGCAGGAGTGCTGTGACCTGGGGCGTAGGCTGGGACCTGGGGCAGGAGTGCTGGGACCTGGGGCAGGAGTGCTGTGAACTGGGGCAGGAGTGCTTTGAACTGGGGCAGGAGTGCTGGGACCTGGGGCAGGAGTGCTGGGACCTGAGGCAGGAGTGCTGTGAACTGGGGCAGGAGTGCTGTGACCTGGGGCAGGAGTGCTGGGACCTGAGGCAGGAGTGCTGGGACCTGGGGCAGGAGTGCTGTCGGGGAGATTGCAGGCTGGTGATTATTACCATGTTACAGAAACGTAGGAATGGTGTGAAGTCAGGTAAGACTGGTCAGCAACTGGCAATCGGATAAAGTACAATAACGTAGGCCATAGCATGGTCAGGGTCCAAGCTGGAGTCTGTGACAGATGAGCAGGTCAGGGACAGAAGGAGCTGGCAGAAGCATAGTCTGTAGACAAGCCAGGTTGGTACAGGTGGATATCAGGAACAGGTCAAGGCACGCTGGCTTGGTAACAGGAAGTCCCAGATAATGCTGTGGTGAAGAAAGCACGGGTAATGTGCAGCTGATCAGTTTAAATAGCCCATTTGGCTCCAGCATTAGTGACAGGTGACCCTCTCTCACACGTGTACATGCACACATTTGCGGATACTAGCTAGCCTGTGCACATATATTTGCCCAAATATGCTGTTCTGGATGCCAGCATGATCTTTCTGAAAAAGTGTTTCATCTCAGAGATACATATGGGTCTAGTTATAAAAAAAAAATGCATAGCCTTTGGCCCAGAGAATCTGCATGTACATTCATTATGTGCAAATTGGGCAAAAACAAATGTTTAGACTATTTTCTCTTCTGAACAAAAAAAGCTTTTACTATGGGCACTAATAATATACTGCATTATGGCCACTAGAGGAAGCTGAGGAGCATAGGAAATACATATGTCTGGTACTAATAGATACAATGTAACAATTCTAGAGAACACTAGAAGGAATTTACTAGTTTCCTCTTGCAGTCTCTAGAATTGTTACTTGTATCTCTTGTTACAATACATACCGTAAGTATTTCCTATGCTTCTCAGCACTTACTTAACTCTCTTTTATTAGGGACTGGGGAGCTGTGTTCGCCATATTTAACCCTGGCTGTACTATGCTGGCAGATCTTGGTATCAGTTGTAAACTAGAAGCTGGGCTTGTATGTTAATGAGAACGCTCAACCTGTCCTAAGTATTTTCCTTAGCACAGACTCACAATAAATATTGGCAGCCAAGAGGCCTTCTCCTGAGAGGTAGAAAGAGGCAAAGGAGGATGGGGAGGGGGCTGACATGTGCCAGGCCAGTTACATGTGTAATTTTTTTCCCAGGTGAAGGTTGGCCAGCAGATTACTGCCATTGTCACACATGACTAACTTTTCTAAATTGAAACTATTCAGATTGGGGTGTTGCTATTGTATTTAGGTCAAGCTAAATGTAAAAGATGAAGAAAAAAAAAAGAAACCTTTACACATCCAGAATATGTGATGTCAGAATACAAGTTGTTGATGCCATCAGTAAAAATCCTTAAAGTTCCATAATACATATACAGCTTAAACACTCTGCTACCAGGTCCATTTTGTTTCAGGTTTTGCACACGGTAAAATGTATATTTTAAGCCTGAAGATTACTTAACCTCCCAAACATTAAATATTTTCTGAAAATAAAGACCCCGGAAAGCCACTGATCACTGGTGGTAGCAGCAATTTCACATATTAGCACACACGTTTATCAAATGCAAATTTTCAGTAAACATTCTGTTAATCTTATTGCGGTGTGCACATGCCCAATGCATGTGTGTTCTTATGTGTTTGTACATAGGGGTGGGGGAATTTATTTTTGTGGGGGGTTTGTTTATTTTTCTGCACTCAACTCTATTGCAATCACATAGTGAGGTTGGGCAATACCTCCCTATGTAATAGCACTGTAATAACAGGTTCACCTTATTGAGAGATCAGGGGTCTATTAGACCCCTGATGTCTCCGCTGCCATCTACTTCAGCTAAAGAAGCACAGATCATACACTACTGTACAGTTGTGATCCCCAACCCAGCCCTACAGCAGGCCCTTGGATATAGATTTCAGAACAGAAGCAAACCAGGAATGGAAATTCCCATCATAAAATTTTAAAATACATGTACCACTTTAGACCCACACAAAGTGTTATATACACACACAATATGTGCCAACAGTTGTGTATGATTCTCACAGGTAAAGCATGAGGTTTTTAATATTACATTTTATTTGGTAAAGCCAGATACATATTTGAACATTTTAACTGAGGTTGTATATAACATAAATCCATCGTAAGATGTTTTATCATCCTTCAGTTCTAACTACCAGGCTATGCCCCTAGATCAGGGATCTCCAAACTTTTTAAACAAACGGTCGGATTGCGGTCCTTCAGACTTTAGGGGTCGGACTCTGGCAAGTGGGAGAAGAAGATTTATTGGCATCAGTGGGAGTAAACAAGGCTCCATCTTCGGTAGTAGTGCCCCATCATTGGTGTCAGTGGGAGGATAATTACCCCGTAGTTGGTGTCATTGGGAGAAATGTTGCCCCATTATTAGTGTCAGTAGGAGAAACAGTCCCCCATTGTTGGGGTCATTGGGAGGAATTATGTCCCATTGCTGGAGTCAGTGGATGGAATAGTGCCCAAAGGGCCAGATAAAGGCAACCAAAGGGCCGCATTTTGCCCCCAGGTCGCAGTTTGCAGACTATGAATTACTACATTTTCATTATGATAGATTTCATGAAGAAATAACACAATAATAGAATGGTGAGTACATTGAGAGAACTGTTACAAGTGAAGAGTGGAGCGCTTGCCAAAATAAATTGGGGAAGGGATACAAGGATTGATTCAGACTTTAGGTTTTATTTGTTACAATAAAAGGGTCTATCAACTGCCAATGGGGGTTATTTACTAAAACTGGAGAGTGCAAAATCTGGTGCAGTTCGGCATAGAAACCAATTAAGTTTCCAGGTTTTACTGCCAAAGCTTAACTGAACAAGCTGAGGTTAGAAGCTGATAGTTTACTATGCACATTTTCTCCAGATTCTATGTTCTCCAGTTTTAGTAAATCCCCCCTAATGTGTTTTGCAGATTATACACAAATCCCAATTAATCCAGATTTAAGTTTATTGTGCAGGATTGTAACATCAAACTCAGGGGTTCAAGTTAGGGGTTATTGAGCAACCTTAAAATTAGTCTATAAGGAATTAAAATCCAGGATTAACCAACTGTCTAGGTGTACGTATGAATGTCAGTTAGGGACCTTAGATTGTACACCCCTTGAGGGTTAGGGACTGATGTGAATGTACAATATATATATGTAAAGCGCTGCGTAAATTGGCGGTGCTATATAAGTACCTGAAATAAATTGTCCAGATTGTGTCTGTACAATAAATCCATGCCATGGCAAAGGGAGATTGTATATGACTCCTCGAAATGCGTTAGCTGTCAACTCTTTATAGACCATTTTATTGTGACAGATAAAGATTCCTATCTGAACCAATGGCATGCTCATCCTGTCTATTCAAGCTGAGGCTCCCAAGAACCCTAATGGGGCTTCATTGGGCAATAGACAGCTGCTACACTATCACACGATTAAATTTAAGCAAAACTTCCACCAAGCTTTGGGTCCGATGCACCACCACTCCAATTCAGCAAAAAAAAAAAAAAAAAAAAACACACACGACAGAGGTTCCAACCATTGATTGTGTTACTAAAAGTGCTGTTTGAGTCCCTAGTGCAAACATGTTGCTCCCTACCTGTTAATAAAGGACGTGAAGGTAAATTTAAGCAACTGGACTGCCAACAGCAAAAAAAAAAAAAGACAAAAAAAGGATTAAACTAATACCCATTCCTTCTGAACTTAAGGGAAAACATTTGCTGGAGTTCATCTTTCATGAGAGAAATTTGTGGAATGCCATTGCTGACATTTGAATGGGCTGCTGTGCATGCAAGGAAAAAGTGTGTGCACCTTTTGCGAAACGCTTGCGCACAGAAACCACATGGTCTTTTTGACCATGTGGTTCCTGCACCCGCAATCGTGCTGCAGGATGAGAATGAATGGCACCCCATGTCTCGCAAGAGAAGCGAAACCAACCCGCAGAGTGCGGGCTAGTGTGAACTTAGCCTCAGTGAATCTCCCCCAGAAAGTCATGAAACCAGAGAGCCAGCATGACAGCCAAGCAAACAGATTCAAATTTACCGCTCACTAATTACAACTTATATTTCTTTCATGACAGGTTTCCTTTAATACAAATCATGAATTAAAAACATGAATAGTTTGCCTTAAATAATGACAAGAGAGCAGAATTTCCAAGTGCATCCCATGATGATTGTAATTCAGCATTAGTTACTGTCAGGACTAGATACCCGACCCATGAATATAATAGCGTTGATTGCGACTTCTCGAATGAACACCAAGAAGGGCCTGTTGGCTTTGAAAATTATCCGTTTCGGTGGGAACGAGCGTCCTGTTACAACCACAGCTGACGAGGCTGCCGCTTCACTGCCTTCCTCATTGACCTGGATAATGAAAGATATGCCTTCGTAAACAAAACTACAGAGGTAATGGGTAATCCTGAAATTATGGAAGCAACATGGAATGGGCCTAAAATGATAAGATTTTACAGTATAGCAGACAGTGTTGGACATACACAGCAAAAGGGCTCTTCTGGGGGAGGACGGAATTTATAGCTCTACCACATTTATTTTAATGCCCAGGTACAATTACATATATATATATATATATATATATATATACACACACACACACACTGCAAATTTTTCTATGCCTGAACACCCTCATAGCCAGTATGCAAATGAGGCCAAATATTGGACATCCCTATCACCTGCCAAAATGGTATTGAGGAAGTTAAACAAGCATTCTGTATTTCACAGTGCTGGTTAAAGCAGAGCTCCACCCAAAAGGGGAAGTTCTTCTTTAAAGACTGGTCCCCCGCTCCCTAATAAGGATTGGCATCTTTGGGGAGCGGGTACCCAAAATTGACAGGTACCCACTCCCATATCCATTGCAATGACCTAGGCAATCGGAAGCGGAAGTTTTCCTACCCCCTCCCTCCCCGTAATCTTCTGGGACATTGCGGGGATGGGGTTAGCCACGTGACCTGATGGCGTAACGCGTAGGGGAGGGGCTCTGAATTTGCAACGCTCAATGGGAAAAGTGAGAGAGGTACCGGCAGGATTGCATGAAAGAACTGCTAGCGGTACTTGAAGCACTTTGACTATAGGAAGCGTATTAACATCTAACCACATGTGAGTGGAATACAGCTTATAAATAAATGCTTTTATAAAGGATAAAGCACTATGTTCTGATTATTTCTTATGGCATCTGAACCAGTGGAGATGGATCAATTGAGAAGTGAAAGGAATCCAGACCCTTAGGATAATAATCCCATCTACAGTCAGTCCATACAAGGGACAAAAGTTTTATATGACCTCAATTAATGGTTTGGTCATATATACAAGGTGAGAGCACAACTGGTGAAGGTGCATGAGTGATTGACATGCAAATACACCAGAGGTGAACTGAGTTACAGTTGTCTTGTACACTATTGCAAAGATCACAGACGGGACATTGACATTTGAGTAGATTTTTGGAAGATTTATATGAACTTTGAAGACATATATATATGTATTTATTTGTATTTAGTTTATTGGAGCGCAGCACAATTTGTTATTTAATTTGGAAATGCCCAAAGGTTTGCATATGGTTTTGTGTTTAAAGTAATAAGCGCTTACATCAAGAAATGCTTTATGGTATGCATCTGATACATATAAATCTGATCTTCCACCAGCAACAATTCCTGCCAGAGTAAAATAAAAAGAAAATATTATAATCCCGTCATTCTAACAATTTTAACAATTATTTCTGCTAGTCACTCTGTTTTTTTTTTTGTTTTTACCATCATATTGCATATAGAACTATCATATACAGGGCATACCTCACACTCCATATCAAACTGTGTAATTAGAATCCTTGTTACTCAAATGATGTGAAAAAGAAAATGGCAAGATAACTCCCACCATCATTAACTAGAAAGTAAATTAAGACTGTGGAATCTGGGTTAGAAAAATGAAAGCAGAATTCCAAGTTGCAAGGTACTTTAAATAGTTTGTTTTTGGGTCAAGCTGATCCAAAGAAATTATTTCCTTTACTAAACAATATGGCTGCTGTGTGTGCTGTAATATCATGTAGCATGTAGCAGCATTAGCCACATACAGTAAAGGGAAGAAGTATTTGATCCCCTGCTGATTTTGAATGTTTGCCCACTCACAAAGAAATCAGTCTAAAAATCGAATTGTAGGTGTAGTGTAACATTGAGAGACAGAATAGCAACAGAAAATTCTAAAGAAATACATGTCTAACAAATGATGCACTGATTTGCATGTTTATGAGGGAAATAAGTATTTGATCGCTTATCATTCAGCAGGATTTCTGGCTACCAGATGTCTTTCATACAGGTAACAAGCTGAGATTAGAAGCAGACTCTTAAAGGGAGTGCTGCTAATCTCATTTTGTTACCTGTCTAAAAGACACCTGTCAACAGGAGCAATCAAACAATCAGATTCCAAACTCTCCACCATGGCAAAGACCAAAGAGCTGTCCAAGGATGTCAGGGACAAGAATGTAGACCTACACAAGGCTGGACTGGGCTACCAAACTATCGCCAAGCAGCTTGGTGAGAAGGTGGCAACAGTTGGTACAATCATTCGCAAATGGAAGAAACACAAAACAACTGTCAGTCTCCCTAGGTCTGGTGCACCATGCAAGATCTCACCTCGTGGAGTGTCAATGATTATGAAAACAGTGAGGAATCATCCCAGAACTACACGTGAGGATCTTGTCAATGATCTCCAGGCAGCTGGGACCACAGTCACCAAGAAAACAATTGGTAACACACAGTGACCAGCAAGGTTCCTCTGCTCAAGAAAGCACATGTCCAGACCTGTCTGAAGTTTGCTACTGAACATCTGAATGATGCAGAGGAGGACTGATTGAAAGTGTTGTGGTCAGATAAGACCAAAATCGAGCTCTTTGGCATCAACTCAACTCACCGTGTTTGGAGGAGGAGGAATGCTGCCTATGACCCCAAGAACACCATCCCAATTGTCAAAGTGGTGGAAACATTCTGCTTTGGGGGTGTTTTTCTGCTAAGGGGACAGGACAACTGCACTGCATCAAAGGGACGATGGACGGGGCAATGTACCGTCAAATCTTGGGTGAGAACCTTCTTCCCTCAGCCAGGGCATTGAAAATGGGTTGTGGATGGGTGTTCCAGCATGACAATGACCCAAAACAACCAAGGCAACAAAGGAGTGGCTCAAGAAGAAGCACATTAAGGTCCTGGAGTGGCCTAGCCAGTCTCCAGACCTTAATCCGATTGAAAATCAGTGGAGGGAGCTGAAAGTTTGAGTTGCCAAATGCGAGCCACCAAACCTTAATGACTTGGAGAGGATCTGCCAAGAGGAGTGGGCCAAAATCCTTCCTGAGATGTGTGCAAACCTGGTGGCCAACTACAGGAAACGTCTGACCTCTGTGATTGCCAACAAGGGATTTGCCACCACGTAATAAGTCATGGTTTGTGAAGGGGATCAAATACTTCCTTCACTGTACAGTAACCAGCACTGTGTTCCGGCAACAATATGGTCAGGTAATACAAGGTTCTCTCTGAATTAGAGTAGAGGCAGCTGGATGATCTCATGACTTCCAGCTTGGCCAATCATTGGAAGCCTTGTATTCATTGATGAAAATACAAGGCTTCTTCTGACGGCGGAGAAGCACTCAGCCTAAAACTCTTTATTTTCAGCTGCGGCACAGCTGAGAGGCTGGGCCAAGTGCTGGTCCAGGCTTCTGGGTGGATCTCTACCATATGGTCAGGATCTTTTCAGACTCTGGACCGGCTCTGTGACATCAGCCGACAGTGGGCTTTAGCCCTCTGTTGGCTGAAAACGGTCACAGGAGTGCAGAACAAGCTGCACTCCTGTGAGCTACACGAGTATAGCCAAAATAGCTTTGGCGATACTTCTCCTTTAAGGTAAAAAAATCGTGTGACTTTAGAACCACTTTTAGCTGTCAGAAATCAACACCAAACTGTGTGATGCTATATCATGACTTGTTCCTATAGTAGGCACGTCTTCATGAATAATGGTTTACCTGACAAATGCTTGCCTTATTTTCTGTATGTGACAAGTGAAAATAAAGGAAAAAGTAACTAACCTGGAAGCTTTGCAGAATGTGGGTTAAACAAGTCTTTCAGGCCCATTTTTTCCAGATTTTGTTTTAAACTGATTGAATCCTCAATTCGAAATCTGGGAACATAGACATTCAAATGAATTTCCTGCATATTGTCCAGCCACTCTGATAGCTTCTCCAAGGAAAGGCTTTGTTCCACTGTTTCTAGCAGGGTTCCTTCTGAGGGCAGCACTAACGCCATTGTGATGTCATCACCTTTATAGGGCATTTCAAGGACCTCAACAGAATCCTTTATATAGTTACCATAGCGGAACCTATCATCCTGATACATCATTGGGACCTCAGAGGGCTTTGTTTTCTCTGGTACATGAAATTCTTCCATGAAAGTATTTCTTGGATCAAACTTTGATTTCCACAATCCCTGTAGGTGATCACATTGATTAGCTGAAGCTTTTATTATATAAATATATAGCTGTATATTGTAAGATACTCAATAAACCTCATTCATAGTTGCTAACATTGAAAAAATAGTTTCAAGGGACATAAACACTCTATTCACAGTTTGCAGTACAGCATGGGAAACTGCATGAACAATGCACAGCAGGATCTGGGCATTATAGGAACACTGCACATGGAAGTTTTAATCTAGTTTATTTATAAAGGCAAAGATTTAACTTTTTGTAGTTAGTTTAATTACACACAAAATGCACAAGTGGGCTAAGCTAGTGTCTAGCTATAGTCTAGAAAAGTGTGGTGAGCAACAATTTCATATTTCTTTATTTACTAAACTGAATGATACATTTTTGTCATAAATAGATCCTTAAAATATTAATTAAAAACAATTATTTACTAGGTTAATATGCTATGAATAACGAAATATCAAACTAACACTGAAAAACACAGGGATTTTATTATGAACTGTATGCCTGGGCAAAATAAAATAACATTTTCAGTACCTTTCTGCAAGACATACACATTCCTCAATCTTTACTGCAAGTACACAATAATATCCATTGATCCTGCCAGAAATTCAAAGACCTCCTAACCTCCTTTACATATTGCCCCAAAATTGCACTCAAATCCCAAGCAGTGTTATGAACCATGCACAGTGCTTCTCTGGGACTACAAAAGAGAATACTACTCCTCCTCAGCAAGTGATAGTTAAGCAGTTCTGAATCAAAAAAGAAAAGCTTAGCAGTCATGATCCAATGGGACCTTGCCCTGTTTCTCCCAAGACACTGCTGCCTAGTTGGATATGTTTTTCGGCATGACTTGAACTCTTTCTTTAAACAGGACATCTCTTCTAACCAAATATTTTAGGCAAACTGAACAGGAATAAAAAACCAAACAACCCTTCTCCATAGGATCCATATTATATCTTCTCACTTTGAAATAGATGGCATTCACCAGCACTAGGATTGTGTCTGTTGTGATGGCTCCTTCTGGGATTACGTCCATGATTCGCTTCTCTGTTTTATTGGCAACCCAGTTATTGATAATTTGCCGGGATTCTTCAGCTTTCTCCTGAAGACACAAACAATGAGAACAAAAATACAAAAACAAAGGATAGATCATTTAACAATGAAACCGTTCCATGTATATATAGTATTCCAACCTACTTCCATGCAAAATGAGTAAACAAGGCTGACCAAACCATCCTTTGTATCCATTTTTACATGATCTTCGTTTTACATGCTTGTTTTACATCGTTTTCCTGTGTCACCGTCTCCTGCTCACAGCAATATGCTCCAACCTTTTTTCCATACCTCCACTATTCTATCCTGGCCTGTTAACCACATTCTTCAGCTGCTCTGCCTCTTTCTCCTATACTGCCCTGCTCCCATTTCCTATACCTACCCTGGCTCTTCCTCCTAGTATTTCTGAGTCTGTAAGAACAAACAGCATAGGTTACAGATTAAAGCAAGGCATATTTAGGAAGGTAGTGAATGGCAGTTGTAGAGGGATCCACGGCCTCTACTTACCCTCCTAACTTGGCCCTGCCATCCCTAGCCTAGTTTGTTCCTTATTCTTACATTTCCCTGACCCTGGTACTTGCTCTCTTCTTACACCAGCCCTGGTCTCTTTACCCATGTCTGTGTTTCCACCTTCTACACCTACTTTCTTATACTTACCTTGCTAGCACATTCTATATTAGCACTGCACCCATCAGCTACAGTGCTCCAATCTCACCTCCTAACCTACCTGCTCCGACAATACCACTTTTATATCACTGGATACATTTAGCCTGTTCCTGTTTTCCTTTTGTAACTACAATGATAGCATACCTAGTAGGCCCAAGCTAGTACATAAATGGGATAGTGCAGGGGTGGACTGACAACTCATGGGGCCCCCGGGAAATAGGGGATCATGGGGCCCGTGTCTTTGCCTAAACTCAATAAAGCCTATGAAAAAGGTACCAGGGGCATCTCATGGGGCCCCCTACTGACCTCGGGCAGTGCCCGAGTTTCCAAATGGTCAGTCCGCCCCTGGGATATGTAATTCCAAGGACCAGGGATTTATACTATCTTTACCTATTAATGTTAGTTAACATAGCATTAAATAGCATTTTTCATGCTCCCATTCTATTTGTGTGATAGAAATACTAGCGCAGGGTTTCTCAACCAGGGTTTCCTGGAACCCTCCAGAGATTGCTAATGGTTTCTCAGACAATAAACAATTTCTGCCTCTCAGATAGCTAAAAAGACCAATGGTGTCATTGGGAATTTATCTGTAAGATGGGAATTCTTCCCAATGACCACAAATGTAGAGAGCATTCTTCACACTGACCGCCACGCTAAAGTACCGTGAGCTGTAAATTTGATAGTTATTAGCAGGGGTTCCCTGAGACCAAAAGTTATTTCAAGGGTTCCTCCATGTTAGAAAAGTTTAAAAAGACTGTACTAAAAGGATAAGGGTGTAAATAACTATGTTTATTGTGTACTCATAAGCCCATTACTTCCTCGTAGAACCATGCTATGTCTTTTTTTGTATTGAGATAGTCCTCACAATAAAATACCTTGGGACACAGCCTAAGACCCAAGTACGCATTACTAAGGAATAGTAAGTATACATCACTAAGGAAAGGACAGATTGGTAGTGGCATGTAAACTGAACAAAACCTGTAAATCTGGCATTATGGGGGTTGAGGGAAGAAAGTGGAAGGAAACAAAACACATCTTCCTACAATAGTTAAAAAAAAAAGTAGAAAACTCTTTGCAGTGAATAGACTCAACTAAATGTGGACTTTTTTTTTGGAGGGTGTCCCTCTCCTATTTAATGGTGTAACATTAGCGCATAGTGATGTTGTAGGTGTATCCAGCAATATGTGGGAATGGAAGAAGTATCCCAGCACCAAATATTTAACACACATTAAGAGATGGATCCAAACTCACCTTGAAGTTTAGAGGCCACAGCTTGGCTCCATACACTGCCTCACTAATCTCTTGATAGGTTTCATTAAAGGTCAGAGACTTCTCTCCAAAGAGACGGTTAGTTGAGGTCAGTTCTGATGATTTGTTAGCTTTCCTATACAATCGACAATTCAGTTTTGCAAAGAAGAAGTGGATTTGATCAGATGCCTTGGTGGAAACTTGGTCAAAGTGGAAGACCTTCAACAGAGATATGTTATCAGTATGGACGCTAACTGGCTATGTATAAAATATTCACATTGTATTCACACGTGCGGTAAATTCCGTGTGTATATATATATATATGTGTGTGTGTGTGTTATTTTGCAGTTCCAGGTAGGGGGCACGCTCGCTCCCTACCCGCACCGCCATTCGTGGCCTTGGCTGTCAATCACTGGGTTCTGGCCGGCGATTTCTTGCCAGCACCATTGATTGCCAAGTATCTTACGGGGGAGAGACCCAGATCACACAGATCTCTCCGCAGCATACTGCTTTGTATGACTCTGCATAGCAGTGGAAAGCACTCACACAGCACACAGTTAAACCTTTGATCACCCCACGTTAACCCCTTCCTGTCCAGTGAAATAAGTACAGTGTCAGTCCTTTTTATTAGCACTGATCACTGTATTGGAGTCACTGGGGTTGTCCGTGACACCAAGTCAGTTCCCCCCCCCAGTGTCAGAATGCCCGCTGCAGTCCTGCTATAAGTTGCTGATCACCGCCATTACTAGTAAAAAAAATAAATATATAAAAAAATTCCAGTATATATACCGCCATTTGTAAACACTATAACTTTCATGTAAGCCAATTAATTTACACATATTGGAATCTTTTTTAGCAAACACATGTAGCAGAAACATTTTGGCCTAAATTTATTACATTTTATTTTTTACTGGACATGTTTAATAGCAAAAAGTCAAAAATATTGTTTTTTTTTCTCAAAATTGTTGGTCTTTTTTTATTTATAGTGCAAAAAAATAAAAACCGCACAGGCAATCAAATACCACCAAAAGAAAGTTCTATTTGTTGAGAAAAAAAAAAAAGGACATAAATTTAATTTGGGTGCAGCGCTGCAGGACCGCGCATTTGTCAATTAAATTAACGCAGCGCCATATCGTAAAAAATTATCTGGTCACGAGGAGGGGGGGGGGGGGGGGGGGGTAAAGCCTCAGGAGGGCAAGTGGTTAAATAGTATTTGTTGACTTAACACTACTTGAACTACTTGATTAAACAAAAACAAAAACAGACCAAGCCACAACATACTACGTAATGTTATACTGAAGTAATAAATTCTGACTTTAAGAGGTTAAATTTGATCAGGTGAAAGAAATTTAGGCTGTTAGGATATAAGTCTTTGGTGAAACTGTTTGGAACTTTTTAAATCCTTATTTGTTCCAATCTTTTGAACACTAAGGCTGGCCATACATTATACAATTTTCTTGAGATTTTTGCTTTAGATTTACCAAAAACCATATAATATGAAGTCAAACCTAAACAACACTTTCAATTGTATCCAATTAGGCAGGCCCTTGCACTACATAGTTGAAGGTGAATATAAAGGAAATTGGGCAGAAATTGGACAGAAAATTGTATAGCGTATGGCCAGCCTTAGCTATAATACCAGGCATTAACACAAGAGAAGCCAAATTCATTCATTCTCTATTTGACGGGTGAATTTGCAATTTCCAGTTAAAACATTTAGCCCTCACCAACATGCTAATTTCAAGGTTTTGGTTCCATTTCCTGGCAGTTTAGTCTTTTTTTGCAATCAAAAGCTAGTTGGAGGTGATTGACAAAAATTGCTCATGTTTATGTCCAATATAATATCTTAAACAGGCCATACATTAAAACATTATCGGTATTTCTACATAGATGTGGAAAAAGGAAAGTGTTAGCACTAGAACTCGTGAAGTCCTTATTTATTTCTTTTTTATTCAGAATTGCATCTTATAAAAAGCCAATGTATTTCAGGGGTTAAAAGGATCCCCTCTCATCAGGGCTACAAATAACAAATGAAAGGTTGCAATCGGTATTCAATATTGATCAGTGTGCATACTGTATAGAATGTCGATTGCGAATATGTTAGAGAATTACAACACATAGGAATAGACTATACCCATATGTTATTATGTATGAGTGGTAATATAGTAATTTTTTAAATCAGGAAAAATTAACTTAAAAAAAAAAAATGTCCTCCTTGGAGTCTCCACTATATGTGCTCCCACATTGTACTCCAAGTCTTTGTGCAGCTGCTCAAAACGTTGTGTGTGCCCACAGCCAGCACAGAGGGGGAACCCACAAATGAAAATCCATACCTCTTCTTCCTCCACAGCAGGAGCCACTGTCAACCACTGAGGAGGAGAAGGGTGGCTTATAGCTAGGACATCCTCATCACAGGAGTGAGTTCTCAAACCCCCACATGTGGTTCACCGTTTTCTCCATCGCATCATTGCTGAGCTTAGTGGTAACTGACAGGGGGAGAGAAAGCACATGCAAGGGGGGTTGCTACAGAGAAAGATATCACATCTCTGATGGTGGGGATGAGCAGTAAAAGGTAGGGATCATCTTTCCAATGTCCCAGAAACAAGGTTTGGACATTGGGTGCCATCTCTGGGAATTTTTCAGCCAGGCTTCTGGAGGTACATAAAGTGCCTGTAACTATAGCAAGAGATTATCCAACTTTGGTCAAAGCTGCACAGTTTGTTTTTGTTGCACAAATGCCCCCTATCTGCATAGGCAGTTTTTTGGTAAAGGTGCACTAACCCTTTATAAGCTCTGAATACCGGATGGACTCTGTTACACACTTAAACTAAGATGGTGCACTGCAACACATTTTTACTCACCTGCATGAGCTCCTTTAATGTGTTGTCACAAGACCCAAGCTTGGCCATGGTGAAAGCCTGTGAGATACTAAGAGGTGATATAAACAGGTTCTCAGAGTTGGACTTGGAGTCAGCCAGGACTTTAAAAAAGTCTATGGCAAACCTGGAGTTTGCTTTGGAAAGTTCCCAGACTCTGGGATTGGTACCTTCAGGAATCTTCTCTGGGGGAGAGGCCTCCTTCTGCTTCTCCTCTCCTTCTGACACTTCCTTCCGATAGATGCATATAGGATTCAAAGGGATGTCTTTGGGTTTGGCAATGCAGATGTCTGGATATTGGGTGTGGGAGGCAGACAAGCCCACCAGGGAAAACAGCAATACTGGTAGAAAATACATATCTAAGAGAAGAGAATCTGGTCAGAATCATAAATCAAGAAGACAGTAAGATCGCGGCATGATGGGCAGTTCTAATAGCAATAATCCATATTAAAGTGAATCTTGCATGATAAAAAAAAAATGTGTGTTCTAACAGCAGACCAGTCATCTCATTCAGCATTGTTGTAAAATTGTATGAAAGGGAAAAAAAATACACAATTTATATAGAAACATAGAAGAGAAACAACAGGAAAATACCAAGCGGTCCATCCACTTATCTTTTTGATGAGATAGCGCTGTGTGTCCTCTCTTTCAACTATATACAGTACTTGTTGCAAGCACAGTTGAGTTGGGATGCAAACTTTCTGAAGTTTGTACCCAAAAGGGTTAGCCATGAAAAGAAAATTCCTTACTTCTTCTTGTCTACATGTTGCACTACCCTTTTTCCTTTAGTACACCTTTGTTAAAAAAAAAAAAATGAAAGGAAAGGAAAAGAGAACTTCCTCCACATCAATCAGTCAATGGTGGATGTCATAGTTGGCACATGGTTGTGGGTGTGAATATTTGCCACCCATCTAGGTGCAGCCATACAATTCAGTTCAAATACTTCTGTACTCATCATTTCAACAACAATAATGCAAGTACACACTAATTAAATGTGCTCGCCAAATCTTTGTCCCTCAGACCATTTTAGTGCCCCAGTTGTAAAAGAGAAGCCATTGACACGCAGGGTTATAAGTGCCTTGACAATTTTTTGAATAGAACTTAGATAGCATTCATAAAACTTAAATTAGTTTAAATTACACATTTAAGTTAATTTTTTTTTAGAAACGTGATTATGACAGATCTGTTATACGAAAAAAAAAAATGATGAAAGTGGAATTCCTCTGCCGTTATGTGTTTTTTTCTTGGATTGGTTCTTCAACCATAAAGTAATAAAATCAATGTGCTGAATATAACATTTCCAGTAACTGTACCATAAGTTTGACATTAACTAGCACAATAATGTTTTAATTTGTAGACCTACAATTAGTAGTGAAAACAATTAAGCTCCCTTTCACACAGCCATTCCGATAAGGTCTGTCAGTTTTTCAGATAGACCTGATCGGAACATCCATTCATCCCTATGGACAGGCTATGTAAACTTCCAGGTCCAGAAGCTCCATTCATCCCTATGGACAGGCTGTGTAAACCTCCAGGTCCAGAAGATCCATTCATCCTTATGGACAGGTTGTGTAAACCTCCAGGTCCAGAAGATCCATTCATCCTTATGGACAGGCTGTGTAAACCTCCAGGTCCAGAAGATCCATTCATCCTTATGGACAGGCTGTGTAAACCTCCAGGTCCGAAGATCCATTCATCCCTATGGACAGGCTGTGTAAACCTCCAGGTCTGCTAAAAAGAAAACTAAAGGGGAACCATCCTCTTCTGTTTAGGTGGAGTGGATTGGAGGTAGTTGGGTGTAAATGGACTGCAGAGTCAGTTCAGTCCCGGCCACCCATGGAGCAGACCAGGCTCTCTCTGCAGAAACTGAGCAAACACAAATGTGCCATCTGCCCGCTCTGCTTTGATCAGCAGGGTATCTGTGAGCTGATCCCCTGCTGATCGGAACAGAATCTGCCAAGTGTGAAAGGGGCCTTAGTCATTATGAAATATTCTTTTATATAAAATTCCATACACTTAAGAAATTGACTTACTAATCAATGAAAATGTAATGTAGAATAAATATTTACATATTTTATTTTTTAATATTTATGTTCTACAGTGCTACAAACAGTGTGATATTAAAGTAGAATTTTACACAACAATTTGATTAAGAAAAAAAAAATAAAATAAAGGAACATACATTCCACACGAATAATTATGCTACCAAAATTAGTGCGTGCTGTAAATTGACTTCAGCATTATTCCTGTTTCTTCCTGCTGGAGGCTGCCATTTTGCTGAAGCCTAGAGCCCGAGAAGCAGTAAATCAAATGCAAAAGAGGCCAGTCTGAAGTACTCTACCAGGACTTTTTTTTCTGACTAAAGTTCCAGTTTTACTGAGAGAAATATGAGGGCTGCCATTGCTGACCTCCTCCTGAAAATGTTAGATGCATGGCTGTTATCCTAGCCCACTGTCACAAAATACATGCATTGGTGCCAGGCAATTTTAAAATATTTATTTCCGGTAGAGGAAATGGATGTATTGTGCACAACAGTTCAATTATCTTAAAGTGTGACAAATTGTTTGAGCAGAAAAGATTGTTAATATTAAACAAAGTTCATTTGTATGAAAGATGGTGTGTAGAAAAGACGTCTCCCAAATATGGCTGGCCTTATGCATTAAGGAATGAATCAGTTACGTACAATAAAGTACTGTGAAGTAAATGTGCAATACCACATCGTGCAGCAACATGTATGCGTTTGTTACAGAGCCATTCATTTCAAATAGCTTATCCAATGCACTTGCGCTTCAACATATCACAAAATATGATGTGTGTTGATTGATTTTGAATATGTTTCTAATGAACGCAGCTGAACACAAGAAAACGGGTGTCTTGTGGTGTAGTGTGTTGTGGTGTGAACCAGTCTTAAGAATTCAGCATAGTTGCCAGGTGGATCAGATAAAGATAAATGTATTTCAGTGATTGTGCATCAAATAATAGGATTTTTCACTTACTGTAAAAAAAAAAAAAAAAAAAATTATTGGAGTACGATAAGGGACACGGGATGCAGTAATTTGGGTACATCGGGTTATGCTGCTGCCTTTTGGAGACTGAACATTATAAAAAAAAAAAAAAAAAAAAGCTGTAAAAGGCATCCCTAATATAACCCATCCCGCTCATATCATACCTCAGCAGGGGCGGACTGACCATTTGGAAACTCGGGCACTGCCCGAGGGCCCGGGGTCAGTAGGGGGCCCCGTGAGATGCCCCTGGTACCTTTTCATAGGATTTTTTGAGTTTGGGCAAGGACACAGGGGCCCCATGATCCCCTATTGCCCGGAGGCCCCATGAGTTGTCAGTCCGCCCCTGTACCTCAGTTTTGTAGCAAGCAATAGGAGCAACTAATGACAGATGGGAACAGCCTGGATCTCCTAATGTACTCTATGAAAAGCATTTTTAGCGAAGTCAAAATCCTATTTTCTTAAACATGCATTAGGGAATGCAGGATGGAGTATTTCAGGTACACTGGGACATGCAAAAAGCAGTCAAACTAAGGGGTAAGCAAAACAGAAAGCCAACTAGTCTATGAAAATCCATAGATTAACAGCTCAATAAAGCTGCTTGAAAAACCTTAAAACAGAAGCTGGCATCAGTTGAGGCCTGAACATCAATCTTGTAAGTGCCACTTCACATATATGCAGATTGGATGCAGTTTGCAGCGCATCCAATGCGCATGACATGTGAAATAACATTGCTTCTGATGGTGCATGTTCACATACAGTATGTCCGGTGCACTAGCAGTACAGATTCAGTGCAAATTGAAAGAGTCCTATTCGATTTCTTAGCAGTGTGGTCCAGTTCAGGTGCGGATTACAAGCTATTGACTTCTATGTGAACTATTACTAAACCACATGTCATCAGTTGTGACCTGAACCTGATGTAAACCTGACCTGAACCACTGAACTGAGTCAATTAGCTGTGAAACCTGAGCTTCAGTCTGCACCACACACGTGTGTATCTACACTAAAAATGTGGGTAAGAAGCAGACCTTCCACAGTGGAGCCCTTCAGAAATGACAGGGTCAGATGGTCTAAAAGGAGAAGTAACTGTTGACTTGAATAGTAGATACCACATCCAGACAGCGGTGTGAAATCTCCTTTGAATCATGTGAAGTACATGATAGGGTGGTTTCTGGTAGTCCCATGGGGGTTTATTTACTAAAGCTGGAGAGTCCAAAATCAGACTCCCTTCTGCATAGAAACCAGTCAGCTTCTAACCTCAGCTTGTTCAATGAAGCTTTGGCAATGAAACCTGGAAGCTGATTGGTTTCTATGCAGAAGGGAGTCTGATTTTGGACTCTCCAGCTTTAGTAAATAAACCCTATGGTGTCACTGGGGGACATACAGGGGGAGCAACATTAGCAACACCCAAGATTTGACCTCAATGGTACTCAAGGCAAATTGTTGATCCAGACTTATCTGGAGAAAAGACAGGTTTTTGATATGAATTTTCCTAGCCATGCACCATGAGAAATACAGGAAACTGTATACTTTGCAAGAAGTTGATTTCCTAGCTTTTAAAAGTGTAGATATTACCAAATCAGACAATCCCCTAGCCCATCAGAACCTGGGCTTCAACAGCCAGTCAGTTAAATCCAATGCACAAAAAGCATAGTAAATAGGTCTTTGGGACAAAAGATTTGGATGATCTGGAAGGGCCCAAATAAAATCTCCCAGGAGTCTGACAAGGTCAAAGAACCAAATCTTCCTGGGCTAGTTCGGTGCAATGAGAATCACCAAAATGCCCTCCATCTTGATCCTGCAGATTATACAAGTACGGAATTAGAAAGGAGGATAGATATGTAGACTAGGTTGAACTGATTCCACAAAATCACCAGAGCATTCCTAGACTTGAAGACAAACCTACACAGCTGTTAAACCTAGAAGCTAGGAGGTCCACTTCCAACATCCCCCACCTGTGACAGATGTCTTGAAACACCTCGGGGTGAAGATACTCTTTTACAGAATCCAGGTTTTGACTACTAAGGAAGGCCCCTGACAATTTTCCATGTCCAGGATGTGCTTTTCAGGCACGGCACATTGTTCCCAAGTCCAGAACTGACCTGCAAGACTTCTGGTTCCTTCCCAATTGTTGATGTAATCTACTGCTGTGGCATTGTTCAACCTAAGTATGGTCGAACGACCTTGCAACTGAGAGGTCCAGTGTTAAAGGACAACCAATTCACACTGAGCCCCAGATTAATCGGGATATGAGCCCTCTCCAAGCCTTGCATCAATAGGGTATTCAAGACTCCTCTCAAGCCTGACAAGCAGGCATCCATTGTGAGAAGCTTTCAAACCAATGGGAGGAAGAATTCTGAGTACAGCTCTAGATCTGTGATTCAACAGACCAAGCCTGATTTTCTGTGTCAAGCATGTGTGCAATGGCCCAGAGACTGAACCTGCTTGTCCAACACTGCTAGAATGTTGAGTTGCAACAGTCTGAAAGAAAATTAGGCAGAACGGCTTCCAAATGGGTCACTATTAAGTCCAAAATCCACATGAAAGTAGAAGGTTGGTTGGCTGTAGAGTCTGAACGTGGGAGGGAAGATTCCAGAAATTGACCTGTATATGAAAAACCTTGGGCAGGAACATATAAAAGGTCCAGACCCAGAAACTTGAAGAGATGAGACTGTTCCATCACTGATTTCTGTAGATTTTCCCTTTATGGGCCAATAGCTACAACTCCTTGAAAGAAGAGCAATGCCAGAGAGTTCCATCAAACTTTGCGGGGTGCTGGCAAGTTTGAGAACTTGAGGCAGGGTGGAGGCAGAGACTGAAATTCCAGCTTGTCATTCTAGATATATAAGTGAGGATTCACCCACAAGCGGTACTCAAAAAGCAACTCTAAAGCAGGAAGGCCTTTTTTCCATCTGTGATCAAGACACTGTAAGGAAGTAGGGAGCCCAATCAAACATCCAGAGGATTGTGGAGGTGGTGCATAGACAGAGGGGATAGCAGAAAGGCATTATGGCCTGTGCATGCACCAGAAAATAGCACACACAGTGAGAACTGGGAGGAAACTTGCAGAGAAGTAAGGCCATAAGGCTCATGCAACCACAGTAGAAGGTCGGTTAGAGCTCCAAATTATGCAACTGGCAGGTGCAACCAATAGTTTTGGCCAGAACCCCGCAAGTTAACCATGTGCTTAAAGAAGTGGAGCAATTTAACCTCCTTGGCGGTTTTCCCGAGTGTAGCTCGGGGTAGAATTTCTATACCAAGAACGGTAACCCCGAGCTACACTCGGGCTTACCATGCAGCGTTCTCTGGGGGTCCCTGCAGCACTTACCTTGTCCTTCGCTCCCACGATGGGTCCCCTGCAGCGTCCCCGTCCATCTCCTCCGGCGGATGCCGGCATCTGGCTTCCGTGTTCCGGTCCCCGTGACGTCGGAACGTTTGGGCGGCGGAACCGGCGGGAAATTTGAAATTTTTAAAAAATGACATTTTTGCTGTCATTGCTTTTTCACTGCATTTCACATACATTTTGTCCCCACTGCTTTGTCCTGTCCCCTGCCTGCATTTTGACTGTTCTTTCTGCCTGGAAACTTAGAAAGGTCCATGGCGGCCAAAAAGCATCCCTTTACGTCAAAAGCGGTTTTAGAACAGCGATAGTAAATCAGAACCACTTGCAGAATTGAGTGATAATGATTTGTGGTGAAATTCGTCATCAGACCCTGGAAACGATTTTGCGACTTTGCTCAGCGATGTGCGAATTTGCCTCTGTATTTCAAATTTCAGTGTTTTTGGTTTGATTATATTATTGAATTAAATTTATTATTATATTTATTTTTTATGATTATTTATTAAATTATAATTTATGATTTCGTGTTTCAAGTTTTATCATATCCGGAATGTTTAATAGACTCTTTTTCGGACAGATTTCAGTGAGTTATTCCTAAAAATTACAGCCTACAATTAAAAACTACATATTTCCATGCAAAAAAATGGTACCGCTTTCAGCACAAAATTCCTGACATGATCATACCGCCAGGGAGGTTAAGCATCATCAAGCTCCCCACACCCAAGGTCCAAAGCCCAAAATCACCACAGCTGAGGTCCTGTGAGGCCCTGCAGGTCTCACACTGGGGAAAGAGAGGCACAACATGTTGCTTCCACTAGTCTTTCCCCCTCTGGTGGGGACATTGCCTAAAGCGTCTTCAAGTACAGGATTCCATCAGAAGGATGCACTGCAGCCCTAGACCTGTAAAGTGCTCTGCAGTAGACTCATACATTACATACAGGTGTCTAGGAAGGCACCTTCAGCAGAGCCCAGTGCTCGAGGACACATTACAAACTGGCTCCAAAAACAGTCCGGAGTACAGCTTTCACAGAAATTTCAAGGATCAGACAATCCGGAAAACTTCTATCACTGCAGCAAGTGGAGCAATTTGTTTGAGAGAAAAAAACATTTTTTGCTTCTTTTTCTTCTGAGGAGAGAAGTTGTCTGTTATTCTAGGACATTAGCATAAAACTAAGGCATGATGGTATTGGGAAGGATTATAAGTAATCTGTCCTTACAGTTTTGTCAGTGTTCAGTCTCTTAATGACAGCAGTGTAACCCACTGTACCTGAATTACTTCACCATGTATCCCTTAATGTACAATGTCTTTTTTTTTTTTGTGATGACCACAAGAAGCATTTCTTTGTCCATGAAAATTGGCACTTTTTCATCCAAGCATAAATCCAAGAGAGAATAATGGCTGCCATTGCTGATCTCTCCTAAAGATCTACTGGGTTGTCATGTTAATTTTTGCTTCAATATTCTAAATTGCTAATCCTGAACTAGTATTCTGTTAAGGACTTTTCTTGACCTTTCCCCATCTGCCCTCTATATTACTGACCCACTGGCTTCAGTACACTAAGCATAAAAACCATTGTGCCCAACATAGGCCTCACATAATGTGTGTTTTTAAGAAATAAAAAGAATGTTGTAGGTCAGTGCTGCTATATGCTGAATAGGAATGATGGTCAAAAGAGTATTATATGCTTGATTCACTAAGCTCACACTAGCACAAGAATCTTTATTTTAGTCATGTGACTGTAATTTTTACATTTCATTTGACCCAAATAAAAATAGCTGTCACTTTATTGAAAATAGGTATTTGTATCTTGAGGTGTTAGCTGTGTGAACAGGGCCTATAACACAAGAAGCTCAATGTAAAACTGTTGTCGCAAGGATAAGATCTTATTTGCAGTCGCCCAACTGCACATTTCAGAACTCACAGCACTCATCTAGAAATAACTTGTTTTTTGATAAGGATCCTTATTGGTTTGTTAGTTTTGCAAATTGAGCCTAAAGGATTCTTCTGGA